TATATGCACTAGAGAACAGAGAAAATCAAAGCTCTCCTAAATTAAGAACAAGTTCTCTCTTGCTTGGAGAAGAAAGAAGCCTTAACATTGCAGAGGGTCAACAAACACTAGTTATAGATGTACCGAACTCCTCTCCACAAAGATAACCAATAAGGGTTAGAGATAACTGTAGCTTACTGGGACCAGCAGACAGCATAATGGTTACATTGTTAGACTCCCATTGTAGTCAACGGGGGTTCGAATTGGACCCAGAGGCTTAAAAACTCACACCAGGAGTGTGTGTGTGTGTGCATGCCCCAAATCCTGAGAGGATAATGGAGGAGAATGGATTGTGGTGTGGCCATCCCCCTGGGGTGGGGGGTGAATTCTCGCTTTCTGTCTCTGTTTCTCCAGCAAGCGCACATGCCCTATAGCAAAAATCTCTCTAACTAAAAAAAATAAATAAAAAATAAAACTGTAGCTTATAAATATTCACAATGAATAGAAAGCAATAAAATTATTAATGAACATAAAAAATAAAGATTTGGATATATGAAAGACTTTCTCGAATATTGTCAAGGAAGCTTTAGTATTCTAATGATGTCAATGTTCTCCATGTTAAGCTTTATGTAATCCTCCAAATTTTCTAGAATAACTTTTTTGAGGACCTTAAAATAATTCTAACATTCATCCAGAAGGAACAAGAAAAAAAAAAAAAACACTATACAAGGACACAAGGACAGAGCCAACCTTTTGACCTGGTGGTTAAGGGAGCTGGATCTCACATGGCTGACAGCATGGTTCAAATCCCAGCCCTAGTGGCTTGGAAACCATCTGGACATGTGTGCATGCATGTTCCAAGTCTTGACAGGATGAGAAATGGAGGAGAAAGGATTGCAGTATGACCTAGTCACATTGGGGAGTTCTTTTTCTCTCTCCCTCTCTTGCTGTTGAGTGCATGTGCCCTCTGACAAATTCTTTGAAAAAAAGGAAAAAAAAAAGAATCCAGGGACTTTTTTTTTTTTTTTTTTTTTTGAGGGGGGTTTCTTTATGTGGCGTTGGCGCTTGCAGAAGTAGGGAG